GGAAAGGTAGCCACTCTGTGTATAATCCCTGGCATTAAGTGGCCATAGAACTTTGGAGAAGCCTGGTCAAAATAAGAGCATTGATCAAGCTCCATGATTATATGAAGACAAGGAGGAGCTGATACGAAGCCTCTACGTAGCTATGTAATTTACCCCTTGAAATACATCATTGAAGAAGTGTTTAGGACCCATTAATAATTGGCTCTCTCCCACCATTAATTACATTCTGGCTGCTCATCAGCTAACATTATAATTGTTAGATTCCTTCAGCAAAATGTCTTTTTCAAAACTGAGGACTGTTTACAGTAAGAACAAACAACTGGGGCTTATTAATTCAATCATTAGGACACTGATTATGCATCTATTGTCTACTCTAGTCAGTTATGTTAAATAAGCTCTTCAGTCTTCATCAGAAAATTATGCTAATATGCTTGAAATTTCCCAAGAGTATTATACCTTCATACAGTTATCCTGCCTAGCAGCAGCCTGGCTCAGGCAATATTGTCACACACAGATAATTATAAATAAGGCATAAGACCCTATTGTTGATATATGACTACCAAATTATACCCCTTGCAATTGGACTTGAAATAATTTGTACATTCGCTTTTTCAGGGTTTAGACATTGGCCCTTGTTTAGTTTTTTCTAAAATATGTATATTGTAGATAATATTTAAATGCCTTCATGGGAGTGTTTGTTGCATTGGATTTGTATTGTAATTTTTCAAGTAATATTTGAGCAATCACTGGATTAGCTATCCAATGATCAGTTGATCCAATGATCCTTTATGCCTTTAAATGTACAGCCAAGAGATATTATCAGAAGTCTGGAGAATGAGAAATATAACTTGTTTCACCAAATATTTTTCTCTCAACCAGAGCCAACTTCTCTCAATTTCTCTTTCTTTAAATTTAAAACACCCTACCTGTATGGTTGTATCCTTGAATGATTTTGGCCATAAAATACGAATTTTCCATCATGATCAACCAATGCTTTTATGACAGGCACATAACAGATACCTGATAAACACTTGTTAGATTCAATTCTTTTTTCTTGTATATACTTCATTCTTGTTTCCAGCATTTCCCATAATGTGTTAAATAGTTTTCTTTGTTTTTTTTAATTGGGGAATTGGGGAAGAGGAACAGTGTTGGGGAATTTGGGAAGGGGACCAGCCAAGTTGTTGTTCTTCAATCTTTGTTGTGGAGGGCGCCAGTTGCCATCTGGCTGCCCGTCCACGGCTTGTGGCCTCTAAGCTCAAGGTGCTGTTACAGTCTTAGTTGCGGTGGGTGTAGCCACCATCCCATGCAGGAGTCTAATCAGCAGCCTTGTTGTTAAGAGCACAAGCTCTATCCACTGAGTCATCCGGGCGGCAGCTCGGCTCAAGGTGCCGAGTTCAGTCTTACTTGCAGGTGGGCATAGCCCACCATCAAACAGGCATTCTTGTTGTTAGGAGCATGTGGTCTCACCAGCTGAGCCTTCCTGTCACCTGTTGGCAGTGCAGCGGCAGCTCAGTTCAGGCGCAGCGTTACTGGCCCTTGTGGGAATTGAGCTGGCAGCCCTGTTGCTCAGAGCTCGTGCTCTTAAGCCAACTCTTACCAACTGAGCCATTCGTCCAGCCCATAGTTTTAATTTTTAATAAAAACTAGTATGTGAATAAGGAGTGTGTGTGTGTGTGAAGGCAGATGTATACATCAATATAAGTTCATTTAAAACATGAAATTTCATTGTACTGAGATAAAAATCCAGCTGGTGTTGGATTTTTTTCTATCATCATTTACAACAACAGTAACCCCACACTTTTGTTCTTTACAGTTCTTACTTAGGTTATCTCATTTAATCAGTGTCCTTTCAGTTGCAAGAAAACTGGATCTTTCCTTAAGATGTAGTAATGCTCATTACAACTTAGTTCCACCAGGATGAGCAAATTCAGAGATCAGATGTTGACAAGATACTCAATAGCTGTATTGAGAGCAATTACAAATTGGATGGATGGGGCAAAGCTGTATAGAATGCTTGCAGACCTATGATACACATAGCATTCTTCTGCCATACAAATGTTGCATTTCACCTTTCTTCAATTACTTAGTATTTTGGTAAGGGTGTGGGAAGACAACTGAGAATGAGATGCTGTCCTTGTCCTTCAGGAATGTACGATCTAAATGGGGAGACAAGATATACATACATGAGAAGCTAAAAAAAGACTCAAGACTAAGCTAACAGATCAAGACGTAAATTAAAGCAAATTCATCGTATGTATATTATTCTGACCATGAAAGGAAATTCATAGGTGAGTGATCCTTTAGGTTGGACTAACCAGGAAGGGCTTTCCAGATTTAGAGAGGAGATGGACTTTTGAAATGTCTTTTTTGAGTAATGTCTTTTGAAAAATCAACACATGGATATATTTTTTTGAAAAATTCAAGTTACAGGAGAAATAATGATGAACTTTAAGTTTTCCACTTGTGACTTCCAGGTTCTCTTCCCAGAAGCAACTACCATCACCATTTTACTTATGTGTCTTTCCAGTCCATATTTAACTACTGGATTTAAATTGATTTTGAATTGATTTTGCTTCCATTGTTTTTGCAGTGCCATGAAGGGTTAACTTGGTGTCTATCCACATAAAAATAAGATTTATTCAATACAATTTATACAATAGGGACCTACTGATGGTACCCTACTTGAAGTACCCTAGTGGATTTTCAAGTTGATTGTTGCCACAGTAATCCGGCTCCATCTGCCTTCAGTTCTTCAGTTTCTGTCTTGACCCAGTTTCTGTCTTTGGTTTGGATGCATTTTTAGCAGAGGGGACAGTAGGCATACTCCATTTCTAAGCCCTCTGGGGACTGCATTGGTCCCAGATTGCCCCTTCTCTCCTTTCCTCAATCCTACAGATCTTAGAAGGAGTCTTAAATGGAGAAACCCAAAGTCTGACACTTTGGAGAGATGGTCTTAGACCTCAAGCATATCATCCACTGAAGTAACATACCCTTCAGAGTGCCTAACTCCCATCCTATTAGCAGATTCTTCTGGAATCCCAGCCAGCCCTGCTTTTGTTTCTACTCCTACTCACCCAGATGGACACTCAAATGTATACCCTGGTCACATAGAAGATATTTGTGTGACCCAGGGTAACTTTTTATAGGCCATTTCATTTTAAAATGGTTGGTTTATGTTAGTAGGAAAAAGGACCAAAACCCACAAACAGCCATCCTATTTCTAAACTGAAGAGTCTTTGCCCTAGACACCCTCCCTGGTGGCTCTGGGAAGTAGAGGCTTAGGAGGTGGGACAGCTTCACCCATTGGCTTCCTGGGTCTCCTTCATATGCTATTTTTAAAAAGGGGTGAGTGGAGCTGTCTCTAAACTGACAATGGAAGAATATCACCCTGGAGGTCAACCTTTGAAGGAAGAATTTCTACAGAGTTAGGTTCATCTTACCGTAAATGGATGCAGGCAACAGAAAGAAGAAATGTTAATGATGATTGATTTTAACTCAAAGACCTGTGCTAGTAGTCACTTTGACATTTATTGTATCATCACACAACTCTATTTGAGTAGCTATCCTTGCAGGTGAGTTCCACTTGCCAAAGATCACAGGTTTGGAATAGAGCTGAATCCAAAACTACAATTTGCCTACCTCCAGGGTTCATGCTCTTCATCACAACCTTTCCATGAGAAAAGTACTTCTATGTTTGAGGAGAGAGATGGCGGAAATGAAGCTTTTGTAAGACTCAGGGAATGGCTAAATATCTCTAAAGAAGGCACCTTCCTCTGGGAAGCCTTCATTTCTGAAAAGAGTATACTTCAAGAACTGTTTGAAATGGTCATTTGGTACTTCCTGCTTATTGATATGTATTCTTAGTGCCTCTTTCCCGCTTGTTTGAGTCCCTAATGAAATCCACGAGGGAGCACATACGATTCAGTGCTGGACAGGAAGCTGAGAAACCCGTGTCTTGTCTCTGCTACCAACTACCTGTGTGAAACCTAACTTTCTTTTCAACTTTAGTTCTATGGTGCTCCCTGCCTAACGTAGTAAGTGCTTAATAAATACTTGATGTGATTGATAGTTGGAGTCAATTCAGCAGAGATCAGGGTGTCTCTAAGGGAAAAGCAAGTTACGCGGGGGCCCCCACCAGCTTTGAGCAGCCAGCAGTAGCTTAGTGCTCTGCAGCGCGGATGTGTGAAGTTGGGCCTAGGAATTTCACCTGAACAGCGGAGAAATGAAGAGGAAGGTAATCCAGTAGTTGAGGGGCGTCGTGCTTATATCTTTTAGACTTCACAAGGATCGTTCAGATCATGCATCATTAGCACCATTTTTAACAAAGAGAGAACCAAGATTCAGGCTAAACAAAACTACCTGGCATTCCCTACCCTGGCGCTAAGGCCCAAGAAGATCCCCGCCCTGGGCTTATTTACATCTCGAACCCCGCCCACTCTCCAGCTTATTTGCATATGGGCGTGCCCAGCGTGGGTCGGGTACCGTGGCTTCTGCGGAACCCTTTTTCTGCCTCTGGTTCGTCCAGTTCTCTGGTCCAACCTCGGGCCTCCCCAATGGGATGAGCACATGTCCACTCCCGGCTTGGCTGGAAGGTGGGACAGGCGACGGCCCCCAACAGGCTCCACCCAAAGGCGTTGGAGAGGCCGAGAAGGGGGCCCAGGGCCGAAGCAATGAGAGATGGGTGATCGCCGGGGACTGTTTTCCCAGCGCGGTAGGATACGTGCTTTTCCCTCCGTCCCTTCCTAGAGCCTCTTCTGGGAGAGCGCGGAAGACGAAGTCAGCCGAAACCCCGAGCGTCCCACCCCACCTCGTCCTCGGCCGCCGACCGCCCGCCCGGCCGCGCCTCGCCTCACGCTCTACGGGGGAGGCGGGACCAATCAGCGAGCGACGTCTCCCTTCCGATTCGAGGCTCTCGACGCGCGGCTCACACCCCGAGCACCTCGTCCGCTGATTGGCTGCGCGCGCCGCCGGTCGGGCCCGGGAGGGCGGGGCGGGCCGAAGGGAAAGGAGGTGGGGAGGTAGTGGCTGCGACTCTCGTAGACCCGCTCGCGATCTGGCCCTTCCCGGGCGCTCAGCCTCCTTCCTTCCCTCATCCGCTCGCCCCGTCTTCCGTGCGCGCCGAGCACTGCGCTCGGCCGGCGTGCCTCGCGCCCTAACGGGCGGCCGGGGGCGCCAATCAGCGGGCGGCAGGGTGCCAGCCCGGGGCTACGCTGGCGAATCGGCGGGGCTCGCGGCCCGGGGTGGGAGGCGGGTCTACCGCGCGGCCGCGGCGGCGGAGGAGCAGCTCCCAGCCAGCAGCCAGCGAGCGCCGAGCGAGCCGCCCGGAGGTGGGTGCGCCGCGCCGCTGCGGCCGGCG